ATGATTTTTTATGAGAATAAAATGTAAAGCAGAAGAATTACCAGAGAGTAAGAACTGAGCAAGTGTTAGCTATTAATGATTTAGGCTGTCAATTTATATGTTATCAAATGCATTTGTCCAACTTTAGTAAGTGGCTCTAGAATTTCTGCAGAGGTTTAAGAGTGGCAATCTGCATGGAAGGGGAGTTATGGGACCTCTGCTGAAGCTACAAGGTGCATGGCAAACACATTTTAAGGTTTTATCTGGGATAGCTTTTAAAGTGAAAGGGATGCCTAATGGAGATTATTAGAGAGGCTGTAGCTTTCCTCATCTACCAAAACACCCTCCCATTCCCCAATCAAAGCCGCTGCCTGCTTTATAAATAAAATGAACAAATTATCAAATCAGGATTAAAAGAGAGAAAAGATTACATATATGTTTTGAGGAGGAAAAAAACTGGGAGAGGGGCTTCATTAAAATTTCATCTATACATAACATTCCTCAATCTGAAGACTTAAAAAAAGGATCTTTGATACAACTAAACTCATTTATTAAACAACAGTGGCTCCCTTACAGGCTTCACAAGACTGTAACAAATATAACGTTTTCCTTCTATTCTATTGAAGTATTTAATTCAACGTAAATAATTTCTCAACTAAGGTAGATCTCATTGACCTTTATCTAGAAGAATTACCTTCTCCAAACAGAAGTTTTGTATGGCTTGGGTTACTCTAGGATTATCTGGGTTAAAAATATCTGGATGATCTGCCAGAATAACATCCTCCATAAAAAACTGCCGTACTGTGTGAAGAGGAATTTTCTGCATGTTCATCTTCCTTCCTTTAATACGCAGCAAACCAACATGTCTGAAATGAGGAGGGAAATGAAAGCCTAGTCACACTTAGTAAATTTCCTTTATAATAGAAATTGTGCACATCAAAACTCTAAGTGTCTACAAAAATATTTCTTTATAAAGTCATACTCTTGAAAAGTATTTTTAGCAATTTAATCTTAATGTTACATCACAGGAAAAAATATTAAACCTTCTCCCTCAGAATAAAATGCACTCATCCATCATTTTTTCTGCCTAAACAAATATACAGTTTAGTAAAAAAAGATAGAAATAACAATAAGTATAATAAAATGTCATCGGGACAATGATAGTAGTATATATAGTATATACTATTACATACATATGTACTATGTGTGTGCATGTATGTACACATACATAAAAGATTAACAGAACTAAAAAAAAAAAAAAAACCATCAAATTTACATCCTATTACCATAGTCTTAAACCTATTATTATCATCTTAACAATGAGAACTTGAGTGGATTATAGGGTAAAACCTGTTCTAAAAAGTGAGTTTAATCACTATTAACTACTTTATCACATAATTCCTTCAAAGAATTCAAAGGAATGAGATATGCTATAATATTGTATTTATAACCAGAAAAATCTAATAAATTTTTATTTATTGGATTTTTTTATTAGGTGAATTTGTTTATAAATGGACATGTGAAATTGGTAATCATTCTGTAGCACTGTAACTTGAAATTTAATAAATAAAAATTGTTTCGAATTTGCTTAATGAGCAGCAAAATCATTACGCCACTGAGATGCTTTCATGTTGAAAATAGCTTAAAATCTGAAAAAATAGTAAGACTATATTAATTGATCGATCTTTATAAATAAATCTATCATATAAATAATAACATCACCAGTACCTTGAACCTATGGGATGATCAGAACATTATAGAAGGTATTTTTTAAATTGATTTAGAAAATATAACAATTACTCACTTCTTTACAGCTTCTCCTGGAGAAAGAGAAGTAACCACTGAACTTCCAGGTTGTGATACGTAAAAGAGTTGTTGTTCATTTTTGGTTGGGGCTATTTTACACTCATGTTCATGGCCCCAGATAACAAGATCAATGAATTCATCCAAAAATTGTTCTGGAATGAAGTTAGTACTTCCATGTCTACTCCTATACCAGGACATTAAAAATTAAATAATATAAATGTTCAGAGATATAGAAAAATTTCATATTAAGTAATTCTACACAGATATTTTTTTCTTTCATTAAAGATTACATTCCTTATATGTGCAAAACTGTTTAAGAGATTGAAAATAGAAATATATTATCTAATTTCTGTCTTCAAAGGGCCTACAGATTTGCAGGACACAGACACGTAGGAGACCAAAAAGAGAAAGCACTTAATTCTACATTTAGAGGCAGATCATGGAAGGCTTTACAGAGGAATAAACTGCTTTGGGCAAGTCAGAAAAGCATGAGCTTTATCAATAGTAAAAACCTGTAAATTGGTCTGATTACACATACACATACATACACACAAAGAATACGGAAACTGAAAAATGGAAGTGAGTTAAGCCTAAACTTTGTAGAATAAAAACAAATCTCTAAACATGTCTAGTTATTTTTTAACATCCTGTTTCTTTTACTGATTATAAAAATAATGGGAGTAAGAGTACCAATCTTATATAAAAGATGAGTTCTCCATTAAATAAAATATCACATGAATAAATGAATTGCAAACTATGATTTTACACCTAGATTACTTGTTGTTACTGAAAAATATGTAAAAACTCAAGGTAAGTAAAGACAAGGAGGAAGTTTTTCCTAACACTGATTTACATCATTGGGATTTTAAGGAAAAGTGTTCAAACACTTTGACCTAGCATTCATTTACTACAAACCAATATTCATTCCCTCAAAAAATAGTTACTGAGTGTCTACTGCTTGCGAGATGTCCCAGGCCTCTTCTAGATACTGAAGACACAGCAGTGAACAAAGTTCTTTGTTCTAGTGGAGGAAACAAACAACGATACAAGATGTATATGTATATGCATATGTGTGTATATGTATATGCATGCATATGTGTGCATATACATATTTGTCAGGTAGTGATAGACGCTATAAAGAAAAATAAAAGAAAAAGTGACATGGAAGGGCAATGTTACTATATATAGTGTGGTCAGGAAATGCCTCTCTGACAGGTGGCACATGAGCAAAGAACTGAGATGAGGATCAGCATGCAAGGGAAGAAGGACCTAGGCAGAGAGACAAGCAGATAGAATAGACGGCATAGGTATATAGGTAGTAATGTGTTCAGCAATTTCAAAAACAGCAAAGGGACTGGTGTGGCTGAGCAGAATGAATGCAGAGAAGAGCAGGAAGTGAAATCACAAAAGCAGCAGGATCAGGATCAGCTATTAAGAAATATTTTTATGTAGAAAACATATATCTAAGGTATGAACATTAAACCCAAATCCCTTTGGATTCTTCCTTAATAACTTCTCGGCTTTATCCCTTAAATATCATTCTCACTGCTATCAGTTACCATCTCACATTTTTCACTATAATGGTCACATAATAAATCTTGTTCTTCAAGTCTCTATTCCTTCCATCAATCCTGCACCTATCAAAAAGTTAAACTTCTTAAAACTACTAACAAAAGAAAGCTGATCTGGCTATATTTAAAATCTGGAAAAACACTTGCACTTATGCATCAAGAAACATTTACAAGAATGTTCATAACAAAAAGTTTTTAAAAAGCAAAAATCTGGAAATAACACAAAACATTCACTAACAGGAGAAAACTCTATGTATCAATGAAAACATACTTTTAAGCATCAAAATGGATAAATCTTAATAACGTAATGTTGAACATAATAAGCCAGCTGCAAAATATACCGCATGGTTCCAGTCATACCAAAACTAAATAAAATACTTATTATGGATATACACATGATTAAACAAGAGAAGAACAACAGACTAAGTAAATAAAAATTGAAGATGTGCTTCTCTCTGGGGTATGTTGAAAGAGATGAGGTCAAAGAAGGGCATGAGATAATGCACTAGTAATGCTTCATTTCTTTGCTGAATGCAGGAATATTCATTTTATGGTTATCCCTATACCATATCCATATGCCATAAGTATTTTTATAGGTATGAATATATATTGAAAACAATTCAAAATGCAGTCACACAAAGCATATCTAAGTTCTGCCTGACCCTGCACTAACAACTTTCAAAGAATGAGGAACATTTTACTCAGATAGGTAAGCTTATAAACAGAGATTTAGGGAACCTCAACACTTGACTCGAAAACTTCCAGAAAACACTTTTACCTGTTCTGATGAATCACGAATAAGTTAAACCAAGAGTTCTCATCTTCTTTTGGTCTCAGCATTGTTACTTTTTTATTAAGGAACATTCGATAGAGCCGTTCGTCTGGAATGGATCCTGAAATGGACATTACATTATTCTAAAACTGGTTTCCTACTTGGTTTTAAAAAATGAGTATGTTTTGCTTCTAAATTATGTGCTTCTCTAAGTACTTCATTGTCCTATTAGAGATATATTTGAAATCTGGAATCATTATTTATAAATGAATATGTTCCAGGTAATTGCATGAAAACAGCTAAGCAGCTACGTGCATTCAAAGAATGTTTTCCATGTCGAGCATATATACCTTCAAAATGTGAAAAATGTAGAATAAAACTTGTAGTTTTCTATGCTTAATTCTTATTAAAATTTCTATTTAAAATATTGTTTTTCACTATCGTTTTATTTATTCTAAGTATGTATGCACTTTTGATCTAACATATACATTATTAAATAGATATTAAAAGGGATGAGATAGAAAATAAATGTGTTTAAAAATAAGTCTTTATATATTGTTTCCAAGTAAAAACACTGTTTTGAATAATTTAATAACTTTTAAATAATTCTTCCTGTACCCCAAAGGATTAGTTTAGTCTAGTGGAGGCCAACAAAAACGAATAAACACATACAAATCATGTGTTAAACACTGTAAAAGGGAAAGAAGTCAGGAAAAGGAACACCAGTGCTAGAACAAGGGTACCACTTTAGACAGTGATTAGGGAAGGCCTTTGAAAAAAGCCAATAATGCAGAAGTGTAAGAGCTAGAGGAGGTCTAGCTTCTAAAGAGAATTCCTAGAGTATGGCCAATGGAATAGATGGTGGAATGCAGAACATATAACTGGAGACAAAAAAGTCAAGACATACAAAGTCCAGGGAAGGTCGGTCTATTTAAGTCTTGAAGCACTGAGAACACCCGCAGAACCTATAGGTAGGTAAAACATTTGAGGGAAAGGAGAAGGCAATTTAGCCAGTTGGCAGTTAGCTTCAAGGGGGCAGGGTGTTTGCAGGTAGGAAAAGAAGTGGCAGCAGGGAACGAGAACAGTGATCAACCCTTCTCTTCTGCCTTAAGACCCGTAAAAGGCTGAGAGAACTATGTGGGACACAGTAACTTCTGGGGCCAGTCAGTTTCACTGAAGGTCAAAGAGGACAGGCAACAAACATTCAGAAGCAACTAATGATATGAGGGAATTTGTTAACTATACAAAGAGTTCTAGAGTGTATAGAAAAGGGTTGGGATAACAGTAGGGATGGAGGACAGAGATAGAGTCCAGTTAAGGAAAACAAAACTGGATGAGATGAGAGTTTGAGAGAAAACAGATGACTTGAAGTACTATGCTTCTGACGGTGACTGAGGCATAACGCGATCTCTTTAGTCTGAGAAGTGAGAGGATGAAATAGTTTCTGCAATTATGATCCCTAACACTACAGTAATTAAAATATCTGTTAGCAGCTTTTTTTGAGAAGTGTGTTTTACTTCCTGCTCTATCACTTGCAAAATCAGACATAACAGCTCAATCTCACTTTCCATATCTCTAAAATATAATCATGATGTTCTTCAACTTGTTAGAGAAATTAAAAGCTAGACAAAAACTATAAGTGTATAAGGTCCCTAGAAAAAGTATTCAAATAAGCCATCTATCATAATTAATCTTTTAAAAATATATACAAAGACACAGAAGTAAATATGATCTTCTAAGGCTTTTATTATACTAAAATCACTCAAGAAATAATAAAACCTATATTGAGGCTACAGTTTGAAATTTTTCCCCAATTTCTCTCACAGTACTTTGAGGTTGATTTAACATAGAATGTAATTTTTACAATACTCTATATACAATAAAAATAAATTTTTTATTTTTATTGTATATAGAGTATTGTAAAAGCTACTGCAACCATAAAACAAATAAAATATCAAGCTAAACGTAATCCAAAGAAGATACAATAGACTCTGCACTCTAAAAAGTCTTTGATCTTTCATTTACATGGAATAAAGCCCAGCAAATAAGCTTTTACCTACTGGACACTAAATAAACTGAAGACAGTAAAGTTGATAAAGCAAATTTTCTGAGCATTATATATGACTAGCACTATCTAAGAAAAATATGTGAGCCACTAATGCAGGCCAAATATATTATTTAAAATTTTCTGGTAGCCACATTAAAACAAGTAAAAAGAAAGAGGTAAAATTAATTTTAACATACTTTATTAACTCAATGTAAATAAGGTATTTTACATTTTTCTAAGTCTTTGAAATCTAATGTATATTTTACACTTCTAGCATATCTCAATTCAGATGGGCCAGATTTCAAGTACTCATACTCAACATGAGGTTAGTGATTATTGCATTGGACAGTGAAGCTTTAGACCTTTCAAAGACTTCCAAGACATCAAAATGCAGTTTTTTTAATCTATAATTCTAAAAGTCTATATCTGAGTCTAAAAGAAAAAATAAACAAGAAATAGATACCAAAGAAAATTTTTTACTTAAACTGCTAATTTCCCAGTTGCTTACATAATTAGTTATTGTCATAAATAGTAAAATAAAACAATCTTACCTAAGCCATATAGAGCAATTTTTGTGTTTCCTTTTTGAAGCAAAACCGGACTAATGTCTATCTTCTCCACAGACATTGAACGCCCAAAGTGATTTATAAATCCAGCACAACTTAAAATATCCAGAGCGCAAAGTGCATCTGCCTATGCAAAATATTTTCAAAAAAATAAGTAATCTGTATGTCATATTTTACCTATTAAAGTATATTCTATATACTAGTTACAAAAACATAGATTAGCATAGTGTCTTCCCAAAACAAAATTACAATTCTAAAAGTATTTGCTACCTTTCTTCTATTACAAATGACCTACTGCAGTTGGAACCACATGCTAAATGCAAAGTTAACATTTCATCAAAACTTATGTGTTGGCCACATAAAATAAAAACTAGCTATGACATACGTACTTTGCAATATTAAGCAGACTTATTAAGATGTGAGGAAAAAAGGACTAGATAATTAGTGATTTATAATATTAATGACCAGATAAAACAAAGATATTTTCCGTTTAGGACCTCTATTATTACTTCTATATTAAATAAGTAATAAGATGATCTAATTTAGATTTAAAACTTTTATGAAACAATCATTTCCTACAGGTAAGATTTTATGAGATAAGAGATAAAAGAACACTTGATAAACTGTAAAGCATTATATAAATGTTAGGTGTTTAGTCCTACTCCTGGTTACTTATTGTTAACCCCAGCACTAATCAAATAAAAGCATAGCTCACACACCAATTATTATTCCAGATTTTTAAAAATTATCTGAAAAGTATTATAAAAATTTATATGAATGTTAAAAAGTCAATTTGACTTTTTGACTCAATTTGACTAAAAATTGCTTTCTACGACTAAACCAATCATTTCTAAAATTTCAACAAACTGTAAGAACCCAATAATTACCCCTGTAGGATCATCATGATTGCCATGAATACTGAATATTGGAATCGAAATGTTCAGATTGCAATCTTGGTAGTTCACCCATGGAAACCTTAAAAAAAAAAAAAAAAAAGAATTTAAAGCTTCTGTAAGAGACAAAAGCTACTTCCCCCCGTATCTTCCTCCAAAAAATTAATATAAATAATAGGAAAGCTGGATGATCTATGTTGGCAAATGATCACTAGTTTGGAGCTTAAAAAAACAAAATCATAGGCAATAATTAATTTCAAGTTGGAAATTATGTCAAAATATACTTTAATAAAGAAAACTACAATAAATAATGCTTGTGAATTATATAAAAGAGTGGTAGATCTCATTAATAGGAACTTGATAGCTTTTTGAAATTTTAAAAGCTCTGTATAGTTTTTTATTTGTGGAAGGGGGAGGACAAGAAACACATCTATTTTGGAATCTCGTAGACTTAGAATAAAAATTCCAGCTCTGTCACTTACTACTTGTGCAACTTAATGTCTCACATCCACTCCTGTACCTAGTCATTCGCCTAGCTTCTATTCTGAGGCAAATGACATTAGCAGTTTCTAGTCTATCTTTGCAAAATTCTTATACCTGTACAAGCAAATAAACACATCTTCTTATTATACAAACGACAGCACAATACAGATTACTACACCCTGCTTTTACCATTTAACATATTTTAGAAATCATTCCATATCAGTACATAAAGAGCTTCCTTGTGCTTTTTTTGGGCTGGACAGTACTCCACTGTATTATTATGTGTTTAAGTAGTTACCTACCAATGGATATTTAGACCATTTCCAATCTTTTGTTTTACAAATAATGCTCTAGTGAGTAATCTTGTACAAAGTTTCCCTTGTAAGAGGATAAGGAAATTTGTAGAAGGGAATTGTTGGGTCAAAGGATATATGTGCATTTATAAATCTGATAGCTATGGCCAATTTCCCTCTATAGAGGTTGTATACATATATACATAATCAATGGCAATGCATGAGAAAGACAGCTTCCCGTTACTCCACACACATAATACTTTATCAAGCTTTTAAATCTAAGCCAGTGGTGATGCCCATGACACACTCAAAAGAAATTAACTGGCCTGGAAACTGGGCATAAGCATTTTAAGATTCCTAGGTAACAACAGTGTCACCTATGCCAATCTGATAAGAGAAAAATATTTCAGTAAATCAAATTTTGTATCTTTCTTGAATGAGCTTCCCTTTATATCTTTCATATTCTTTTAATATATGTTTAAATGCCATTTTATTTCTTTTCCTGTGAACTATGTCTACATTCTTTACCTATTTTTTTTTTTATTAACTCATGGGTTTTTTTATTGACTTGAAAGAACGATTAATCTATTGGAGAAATTAGATCTTAACTTGAGATTAGCTGCAAATATTCTTCATGGTTGACCTCTGACTTTTGACTTTGCTTCAGGAAGTTTTTGTATGGCAAAACCTTACAAAGACAAAAGTACCCATCTTTTCTTTTAAGGCTCCTAGGTCTATGTCATACTGAGAAAAGCCTTTGCCACATCTAAATGTTCAAAAATGTATAAGTTTCTTCTAGTATTTTTATTGAACAATCTGTATTTTTTTATGGAGATATGAGATGCCACCTTCACCAAATACTAAATTCCTGCATATATTAAAGCTACTTCTGGAATTCGGGTATCTCAAAAGGACACAGGAGCAGATCTGAAAGAGTGCCCAATGGCTAAAGCTGGTACAATTTATTTGAACAACAAAATAGATTACAATAGTATTAAATTCTAACCCAAAGGGGAAAAAATGAGTTCATACTGATATAAACAATTTAATTAGTTCTTAATGACATAGACAAATAAATAAACAAACAAATGTGGAAGAAGGAACAAATCTTCCTCACAGAAGAATTCCAATCAATAAATGTAGAAAGAATGTGGAAAACAGAAAATCACCATTAGAACACCACAGTTATAACTGCTGTAGGCAAGAGTCACTAATGAATGCTAAAATTAGTGAACAAACTTTAAGGAGAAAGAGAAGAACTACGTATCCTCAAAATATCTCCTCCAAAATATTTACTAGTTACAGCGGTGGTTTTAACCACGGCCATAAATCCTTTGACACTACTTCCTCTCTCTTGGAAGTGGAACTTAATTCTCTGTCTTTTAGTGCAGGCTGGACGTAAGGACTGCCTCTGACAAACAATGCCTGGAAAGGGGAAAACCCGACAGCAGAAAAACCCAGCAGATACCACCTAACCAAGTGATGGCACTTAACCTTACCAGCGATAAGCCACGTATTGACAGCTTGTATTTCCAATATGCTATTAGAAGGGCACTTAACCCCTGTGGAATAGTCTTCCCACATTCCTACCCTAATCATGAGAAAAACCCAAACTGAAGGACATTTTATAAAATACTTCAAAAATATCAGGGTCATGAAAAACAAGGAAAAACCAAGAAACTGGCATAGGCTGCAGAAGCCTAACAGAACATTTCGACTAAATGCAATGTGGTATCCTAATACGATGTTCAAGGAAAAACATGATCTTTATGACATGGGGTTCTTGATGGATATCGTAAATAAGTCCCTTAAAAAAAAAAATCCCAATATTATTTGGAAATACAAATATATAATAATGACAGAAAATTTAAAGAACTACATTTATTATGAAAATAGCTTATAACAAAGGTGAAATGGCTAATTGTTAATGCATTTATGTGTCTTATACAGAAAATATTATACATAAGGAAATGTACACGTAAGTACTTAAATATACTTACTTACTAAAACCAAAGTTGACTGACTGATCGCTGATAATTTCAAACTGTACAGGACGATCACCCATGCAATATTTTCTTAATAACTCAAGGCAGGAATGTAATGTTTTTCTTGAGGGTTTATTTTCATGAAAAAGGTCACCACCGAACAAAATTAAGTCCACCTAAATCAACAGAAAATAGTGTTAACATTAGTATGTTTTATAGTTAAAAAATCTTAAACTATAGATGAAAGAGGTAGAAAAAAATCATATAAGATACCATTATATATGGAGGTTTAAAATTTTATATTTTAATCATTCAAAGGACCTTCTAATCTGGTGATTAATTTGACTCCAATTCAGGTTCCTAGGCCACCTTCAAAAAGCCATCTTCAAATTACTACACTAAGTCTCTGATTCATGCAACCCAAAGTGACCATATCTCTTTTTTGGTTATTCGAACCAAACATAAACTTAGCACTTCAATGAACCTATGAAAGAGATAGCCAATTCAATCCAAATTATTCGTTCAGTTCATTCAACAATTATTTAGAGTTTCTATGGGCACTGGCAACGAAGGAAACAAAAATCTACAAAAAAAAAAGATGCTGCCCTTGCCCTCATTAAATACTGACAATGTGCAATGTCCTGTACTATGCCCTGAGGATACAATGATCAATAAAATACAAGTGTTCAAAATCTAATGGAAGAGACAAACTGTTACTCATCTAAAGATAAGTCAGATGCCCACTAGAATGGATATGTAAACAAACCAGGAGCAGAGGTGACATAACAATTAATTCTAACTGAGGAGTAAAAATTTGAGGACATTAAGTCCAGAACGGATGCATTAATACCGTGTAATATGAGTTGCATTATTAAGGATAAATGAGATTTTGAAGAGGAGCATTCTAAGAACCACTAGAGAAAAGGAGAGAAATCCTAACACATTCACACTTTCAAGAAGTGTACAATCTACCTTAAGAAACTTGATGTGGGCTACAGTAGTGAGGGGGAGCAGAATACTACAACACAAAAGGTGCCACTTTGGCATGTGGATGGTTTTGAGCTGAAGACAATTAAAGCCCAGCAGATTCAGGAAAAACTTTTTTACCTCTCCCCTGATAGGGAGCTCATATCAGGAAGAGAGCTATCACCAGAGGTAACTTTTCATCTGCATGGCATGGCAAACATTTGTTTACCAAACACACCTCTTCTCATCTTCCTATCTTCCTGTGAATTACCTTCCTCCCCTCTGAAGCCCCTATACACCTAGCCCCTTCTCCTTAGCTCAGGATGGTGAGCTTTAATTACCTGACTACCAGGAAGCCTTGTATTTTAATGGAGCTCTTACATGTATGAATTTTTTTCCTGTTAATCTGTCAATTTAATTTTCAGACCAGCCAAAAAGAACCTAGATAGGAAGGGAAAAGTTTTCTACCCCTACTGTAGTCAGGGAAGCTGATGTGGGATTTAAGCTAGGTCTTCAAAGAACGTGATTTGAGTAAAGGGAAAAAATGATCATAATCAAAGGCTTAGAAGAAACAAAATAAATAAAATAAAATAACAATTTTAGAGGGGATGGAGAAAGGAGAGTAGTTGTTTAAATGGTATAGTTTCACTTTTGCAAAATGAAAAGAGTTCTAAAGGCTGGTTACACAACAATGTGAATGTGTTTAATGCTACTGAAGTGTACACTTAAAAATGGTTACTTTTGTAATGAGTATTTTTATCACAAGTAAAACATTTTTTTAAAATTATTTTTAGAAGCCGGTTTGTGACTCCAGAGAACACTGAGAAGGACACAACTTGCTTCTGTGGTATTCTGGCCAAAAGTAAGTCTAATTATGAGGAAATGACAGAAATACCTAACTGAGGAATATTCTACAAAATAACTGGCCTGTACTCTTCAACAACATCAGTCATTAAAGACAAAGGCAGACTGAGGAAAGGTACCAGATTACAAGAGACTGAAGAGACATGACAACTAAATGAAAAATTTAGTTGTCCTGGATTGGAACTTGGATACCACTGACCTGCCCCAGACTGCTGTAGCAGACATTACCGAGACAACTGTTAACATCTTAAAATTAATAATTATATTGAATCAATATTAATTTCCTGGTTTTGATAAGTGCACTATTGTTATATATGCTATTTATTCTCAAATGGTTCAGAAAATATGTGTGTGTGTGTGTGTGTGTGTGTGTGTGTGTGTGTGTGTGTGTGTGTGTGTAAAGAGAGAAGATAAAGCAAATGTGGTAAAATACAGGAAAATCTGGGTGAGGGGTATTATTCTTGTAACATCTTTGTAAGACTGATATTGTTTCAAAATCAAAGTTAAAAGAAAGGTTTCAAGTAACTAGGAAGTAGAAATAAGGCTGGTAGATGGCACAGGCCCACAAAATAGAGGATTTATGAGTCAGGAAGAAGGCAAAAAGTAAATATGTATCTGGAAGCACCAGCATGGGGCTATGAGGGGAGGGGTCAGTTAAAATTAAGGGATGGCGGAAAGGGAAACAAGAGGAAATAGAAGAGAAAAAAAGGACAAAGTATGTGTGTGGGGGGCAAGGGGAGGCAGGAAGCTTACTCTAAGGGAAAGAAATATTTTAGTACCTAAGTTAGAAAAGAAAAGACACAGGATTCTCTGGCAGGAAACAGACCTCCTTCAGCTGCAAGTTTCTCTACCCTCAGGGAATGAGGAACCCGTTTTAAAAGGAGATATACCAGACATTCCTTCATTCATTATCAAATATATAAGAGTACCCACTACTTGCTAGATTCCTTCTAGGTAGCAGGATACAGCATGAGCGAACAAAAGATTTTTCACTCTCATGGAGTTCACCTTCTAGTGGAGAAGACAGATAATAAACAAGTAAACAAGTCAATAAATTATTTCAGATGACGCTATGAAAAAAATTAAGAGTAATGTCATAGAAGAGTGTTTGGAGATATCAGGAAAGATCTCTCCAAAAAGGTTAAAACTTGAAGTGACACATCAACTCTGCCAAGATTAAGATGCTATAAGCAGAGAACCAGGTCTCAGTAGAACATACCAGTGTGGATAGAGCTCACTGAACTAGGCAGAGAGTTGTAAGGTAATGAAGTCTCCTGGCAAGGGCCAGATCAAGTTGAGTCTTATAGTCTCAATTTTTTCTAGGTTCAAATGGAAGGCCACTTGGAAGATTTTAAACAGCAGAGTGACATGATCTGATAAAGTGATGAAGTTCACTTTAGCTGCTATGCTGAATAGATGTAGGGGTAAAGAATGGAAGTAGAGAGACCAATGAGGAAATACTGCAGTCCGGAAAAATTTGTTAAAAGTTTGGGAATAAGTTTATAGGCATGAAAATCAAGATTAATGGGAAGGTTCCACATATTTTCAGGAGAAAGAACCAAAGGACTTGCAATTAATCCAAACAGAAGTCTGAGGAAAAGTCAAGGTTGGAGATATTAATTTGCAAGTCACCAGCATTTACATTTATTCCCCAGCTCTCTCTCAGGCTATAAACTAACACTTCAACTGCCTGCTGGAATGCTTCCTTGAATATCCAACTGGAATATCTCAAATCAAATGGTCTAAATCACAATTCATCACCTTCCCACATAAAGAAGTACCGCTTCCTTATTTAAAAACTACTTCTATTATCGGTACCACCAATTTCAGAGTCATTGTCATCCCTTTTCCCTCATTTCCATCTCTACAACGAACCAATCAAAGTATGCAAATCATATCTTTGGAATAGTTTTTGCATTCACTTCCTCTTTTCCATCCCATGCCACCACTTTCAAAAAGCCTCACACTGGTCTCCAATTCATGCTATACACTGTTAGCATAAGACTTTCTATTGAATTGGATACAAACTCTTCAATCTGGCACTCGAAGCTCTTATTAATGCAGCTCTAGCCACATTTCTATTCTTTCAGCATACTTTCTAACATATGGTCTCCCAGTGAGCCAAACAGAGCTGCTGTTCCCCGTGTTAAGATGTTCACGTACCTATTGTCTCACTTCTGAGCCCTTTCTCCTGCTTCCTGTGAAATGTACATTCTCTATGCTCTTCACCTGCCAAAAACCTACCCAACCTTCAAAGCCCAAGTTAAATGCCACCTCCTGCATTAAACTCATCTTGCTATCCTCATCTAAATATAACTTCTTCTATCTCTAAACTCCCATGAAAGGCTGTTTATAATTTTCTTATGGCTCTTATCACAAATGACCTTGCATCAGAGCATTTTGGACATTTGTCTTATCTCGCATACTGGTCTATGTTCTTTGAAAGTAGAAACTACACAGTCATCTTTACATTTCAAACAGAAACTGCCACAGGATGCTGTACTCAGAAAACACCCCATAAATACTTGTAAAATTTTACAGACTCTTTGCAAAAGTAGCTCCTACTTGAATTAAGGGCACAAAGCACATAAAACTTGCTTTGGGTTTTTAGTACATTGATATTTAAGCAGGCAATGTGAGCACATGAGTCTATAAGACAAACCAACTTTAAGAAGGGAAAAGAGACTGCTAAGTACGGGAGCACTGTAGAAACTGCAAAACTGTAAACCAAACTCACTTCATTTTCCTGGGCAAGTCTTAAAATTTCATCAAATGTGACAAAGGTATCATTTCCTCTGACTGCATCTTTCTCCATAAATCCCAAATGAATGTCCGTTGCAACTAAGATTTTAAATGTATTTTCATCATCACTGTATTAAAAAAGAAGAAATTGTTCAATATAATAAATTAAAAGAATGTTCCAGCAAATTGAAACTTAAATTTATAAAAGAAATAAAGCAGTTATGGAGTAAAATCACTTTTTCTAGTCTTAACTGTAAATTTGAAGTATTCAACAGATCTTTAACATCACATAGTTTGCCTACCACGAATTCAATACAGACCAAATGTACATGAAATTTTAAAAGGTCTGTGACTACTTCAAAAATTTACAGCCTCTTTACAACCAGTTTTGTACCCTTGAAAGCTTGATTTGTTTTCCTATTCTATGTCACAGCAACAACCCAAGAGGATTTGACCCCATATTTAAAATTGCTACTTGTCTATTTTGTACTCTTCCAGGAATAGAGTTAACCAGTTCATTTAAAAAGCACTTTCTCTAAATTTATAAGTAGAGTTTATCCTAATCATCTAGCAACTTACATTCAAGCCCTTACAAGAAGCTTGCTTACCTCTACTCTTTGTACAAAGTTAGTTTTTTGTTAAATTTGGCCAACTAACAAAACAGAATTATTTACAGTTCCATTTAAATCTGGTAGTATTCAAAGGTACTTTTCATGTAAAGCGACAATGTAATGTTATTAATACTCTTAAACTTAATGTAACTTTTAATGTTCTTTAAAATATTTTTGTAACTATGATGTCATCTCAACTTACATGTAGAAGTAGGTTTTGTTATTTCTGAAAAATGAGAAGGCCAGACAGAGAAATTAACTGATTGCACGATTAAGTAGAAACAGGACTAAAACCCAAGATTAAAACTCAAACTACTTCCACAAAACCATAATGAACTTAAAAATAAAACGTTTATATATATATATATACACATACACACACATATATATGTATATGCATATGTATGCATATGTATATGTATAGGTGTGTACATACGTATCTACAAAATTCACATCTTTATATATGAGACTTTCAGAAAAGATTTCTCTTCAGAAACTTTAAAAATGATGTGCACACATCTGATTCCTATATCCACACAGGTAGAATACTTTCAGATCAAATGACTACTCTATGTTTCCATAGCAACTACAAAGTATTTTCATGATTCTCTTATTTACACATCAAAATTAATCTGAGAAAGGCATCTGTATTCCAATTATACAAATGAAGAAACTGAAGCAAAGTTTATAAGATTGCTAAGTTGCCCAAGGTCACACGGTATTAACCAAGGAATTAAAACCGGAATGAAAGACTCCAAGTCTAAAGCTTTTTCCACATAACTGTTTCTAGTCCTTTTATTTTTCATTTTACACAAATTCATTTCCAATTCATTCAAAACTAGAGCACTTAACTCCTCTAAAAATCAACTTCAATAGACTTGCCTTGACTAGTAAGACTGTCATGAAAGTTCAAGAATATTTAGTAGCTTCAACATTTTAAGACAAAACCTTAAGAACATAAACTTATATATACTATAGCAACATATACCAAATTACTACAAGACCCATCTATAGATGCATATTATCTTTCAGTTAAAAAACATATAGTATGAATTTTTAAATATTCTTTTTGATGACTATCACTTCTGTTCATAGTTAAGCTCTTTATTTACTGCCAATTTATTAAATGTTTTCTTTCAGAGTGATCATAGCTGATGAGCTTTAGAAACTCAAAGCAACAAACAAGATTTCAGAAGACAAGTGCTTACGGGGCATCTGTAGAAGTCATTTCTGTGGTCAGTGCAGCTCCTCCAGGGCCAGTTTTCTCCCGAACTACCGCTGGGTACTGCGCTCAAATGTCAGAAAACTCACTCGATTCCAAATTCTAAAAACGAAATTATATTATTGTAAAACACGCATTTAAAAAAAGCTGGCTGGCAATTTTGGAAGTTTCATTTTCATCTAAGCCCCTACTCTTAGAGCTAAGAACTGAAAACAGCACATCTCCAGTGCCATTCCAGTATCACTATTACGATAAAGCTCATTTTCCTATTTCCCTTTTCCATGCCCTATGGGAAACTAATGTCTGTTAAATAAATGAGCAAAAAGGGTCACAGGGTCACAACAGTGTAGTTGTGGTTTAGCACATGGACAATTCTGCAGAAATGTTTAAGGTGCTTGAATAAGCTACTCTGAAGCATGGAGGCGATCTCTTACTTTTCTACTCAAACACAAAATTTTCTTTAAAAAAAAAAAAAAAAAAAGGCTTGTTTTTGGAAAGAAAAGGGCCCCCACGTCCAAAGCTGGTGTAAATAAACAGAAACACGTGGTCTGCGGAGAAACACCGTCAGCAGCCCGCAGAACAAAAGAAAATGGCCAGCATACTTGGGGAGGAGCGGCTACTATCGCGAAATAACCCCTCCAACGTACAGACAGATTCCCAGTTCCGTGGGAATTCCAAGCCTCAGCATGCTCCCATCCCCGGACTCCTTAAAGCCACAACGCAGGATCCTGCAGGACTCCTCCGCATCCCACTCGGCCCATTCTTCTCAGAGGGTCAATCCATTCTGGACTTCCGCATAGGATCCTGCACATATAGGAGGTGGGTACGATTCCTAAATTACCCGACACTCACCAAAGCCCCTGCATCGGAACTGGAGGCTGTCTTTTATCCGGGAAGAAGGACCGCGATTCGTGAACAGAAAAGCAGCAGCACAGCGTGAGATCGCCTCTGCGAACCCGCTTAACCATAAACCTGAATTAGGGCGGGAGGAGATTCGTGAACAGAAAAGCAGCAGCACGGCGTGAGATCGCCTCTGCGAACCCGCTTAGCCATAAACCTGAATTAGGGCGGGAGAGAAAAAAAAAAAAAAAAAAAAAAGCAGCTCTTTCTCTCGCGATACCTCATTGATTACGTAGACTCTTCATGTCCTCTCCGGCTCTCATTGGCTGCCGAACGCCTTGAGGGAGCGTAGAAAGTAGCAGCGAGGCCCCGCCCCCGTACAGGAACCAATCCTGAGCAGCCGAGGGGACGAACCCCGGAAGCGAGGTTTGCGGTGGCGATTTTCCCCTCTATAAGGTGGGTAACTCTTCTTTGCCTAGGACCACGCTTCCTGGACGCCTTAAGCCACGTAAGGACTCTTGGGCCCTTGGCGTCGGGTCGCCTGTCTACGCCGGCAGCGTCGTGGTCCTAGGTAGGGCTGGAGCCGCTTGTAAGGCCGCAGGAGCGACTCCCCGGCCTGTGAAGTGACCCGCCGGGGCCGGAGGGCCGGGACTGGTGGCCTTGTCCCTTACTCCCACTCCCCAGAAGTAGAGCATTCGGATCATCAGTTTTTCAAGCCTTCCCCCTTAGCCCTGGATCCCGAGTTCAGCACATCTGTATTGCTTCGTGCTGGCAACAGTAATATATAGTGCAGTAAAAAATAATGTGAGACTTGATTTTAGAAAATCTGGAATTTCAGTTCCACTGGAGTTCCTCGATCTAGAGCAAGCTGTTTTAATCTATCCGAACTTCAGCGCCTTCATCTGTAAAATGGGGTTTATGGTCTCACCCGTCACTGAGAGGTTTGTGAGGAGTTGACAAATTTAGATCTCTCTCAAAATGGAAATGTGTCCTTGAAGTAAAGAAACGTACCTAATTTCTTCCCGGTGGAAGATAGTCAAGTAAGAATCCTGACTGACTTTTTAAATCCAGAATCAGGGAGATGCACCTGGGTTTAACTTTTTAAATAAAATCCACTAAGAAAATTTTATATGTAATTTATCATATCTGGAGCAGTACATTCAAAATTTATAAAAAGAGGCTTTATAAAAAGGAAAGGAAAATGTAAGATGTTTGCTGTAATTTGGTGTAATTAACAAGTGAACTTTATGTTATTTACCGGCATTTATTGTTTCATGAAATCATGTATGATCACTTTTGTGTTGCAAGGTTCAGGGAATAGTTTGAGAATAAAGAAGAAAGTGAGAACTATTAAAACATAAAACAATTTTGGTAGCTTCTGTCATAGACTGAAAAGCTGGACAGGCTTTGGAAATTTTTTAGTAAAATCCATACATTTTACAGTGAAGTAACAAGCCCAGAGAAGGTACTAGTCATGAGTGGTAGATTTAAACTCGAGTTTAATGCCGTTGGCACTAGTAACAAGATCTAATTCTGCATAAGGATTGTATGCTCTTAAACTTGTCAAATTAAGTAGATAGAAATATCTTAGGGGTATGACTAACTTATCAGGGCAGAATCCATTCCAGTCAAAATCAATTGATGGGGCTTGAATTAAATTTAATTCTACAATATTTCTTAATGCCTGCTGTATGTAAGTGAGACATAAATATAACTTAAACATAGTCCCTGTTCTTAAACTTACAATCTTTTAAGAGGCTAAAACAAGAACAATATTAGTGGTGAAATAAGATAACATGTAACACAAAAAAGTAAAAACTAGAAAAATCTAATTTGACGGATCAAGAAAGACTTAATGAAAGACAACATCTGAGAAGAACCTTGAAAGACTGATAAGCAACAAATATAGTTGGGAGGCTGAATGGTATTTTTTAAAGTGTATTTTTCGATTACAGTTGACATACAAAATTATATTTCAAGTGTACAACAGTGATTAGATATATATATATCTTAAAGTGATCACTCCAATATATATCACTCCAATAATTCTTATTCTTTTTGACTGATTAAAGTTTAATATGCTATGTAACTCTTTAGGCTGATGTTAATTTATAAATATGGCAGCCTAGCAGAATAAGCATAACTTCCTTTGGGAAGCCTTCTTTAATCCCTTAGGACTGGGTTAATTATGACTCTCTAGCAGACACATTGTATCTGCACATGGTCCTATCATAACACTTATTCCACTGTCTTTGTCAATCACCCCAACTAGACAGTAAGCTTCTTGAGGTTAAGACATGGATCTTGTTCATTATTGAATCCCAGTACCCAGACACTGGCACATACCAGGTATTCTATTCATGCTTATTGAATGAAGGAGCAAATAACAGCCAAAATTCAGTTTCAAAACAAGAAGTTAAGAACTATAGTTGTCTATCAAAGAAGAGGACTACTTTTAAAGCAGTTCATTTTCCCAATACTGAAACTATTAAAGTAGGAAAAAGATAATTACAGATGTCACAATAAAGATATCTGCACTGATGAGAGATTGGGACAGATGTCCTTTGGGGGCTATTCCAACTCTAAGGATCCCTGATTCTTTCAAGTAATTTTTTAGGAACTAAGAGGTTTTGTTTCTGCTCTGTAGTGTCTGTGTGTCTACTTTATAAAAATCATGAATGCTCCTGTCTCTGTTGTATTAGTTATAATTTAAAAGTTTCAAGCATTTATCACTCTTAGCATAATGCAATAATATCTAAAGAACTATATTCAAAATAAATACAAGTATACCTTGGAGTTTGGTTCCAGACCACCATATAAAGTGAATCATGATCTTTTTGCTGGTGGAGGATCTTGCCTTCAATTTGCAAAACACAATGTCTGTGAAGTACAATAAAGTGAAGTGCAATAAAATGGAGTATACCTGTACAGTTACAGCCACTAAGTAGAAGAAAAAACAAGTAATAAGAAAGATTAGGCCATTAAAAATACAGATAACTTTAATCAATCAGCTCCAATATTTAGTAAATGTAAAGGATATCAGTCAACACCAAAGAGTTTAGACAGGATTTATTTGTGTGTGTTTGCAAGACTTATCTGTGCTGTTGATAAAGCCTCAATTACTGTTTTGCTAATAATTTTTTGTTTGTATTTTCAGACCTTGATGAATAAATAAAGCAGACATAATTCATCTCTAAAAAGATTATTTATACTCTGACATTAGAAATGCTTTGTATTTAGAATAGTAATTAAAAAATGGAAAAAGAGAAAGTAAATGATGATGGACAACCAGACCCAGAGAATTCCTTGGACTTTTCTGAACACTTTAACCAACTCGAATTGTTGGAAACACATGGACACCTTATTCCCACTGGTACTGAAAGTCTCTGGGTAGGGAATTCTGATGAAGATGAGGAACAAGATGAAAAACCTGAAGAGTGGTATCAGTTGCAAGAAAAAAAAATGGAAAAAGATCCAAGCAAATTGCTTCTTTGGGCTGCGGAAAATAATCGGGTAAAAAAAAACAAAACAGTTAAAGAAGAAACCATAACATAGTAGAAAAAGTATTAGATTCAGAGCCAGAAGACCTGTCCCTGAACCTCTATTTGGTCTGTAACTTTGGACAAATCGTACTATTTCTCAACCTCTATTTTTCTATCAGTAAAAGTGGCCACCATAATACCTGCCTCTTTGATATAGGGTTTTAAGGATCAAATGAATCAATGTACATGAAAACACATGATAAGCTACAAAAAGAGTCTTTTAGGTATTTGGGTGGGGAGAGGGGCTTTAGGGATAATTAACTATAAATATAACAAGCAGTCATCTGTATTTTTAAATCATTTATATTACATCATTAGGATCATCCTAGAAACAAGTATTATTTAGGAAAGTGATGAGAACTAACATTTATTGAATAACAACTATACTTATTACATTCAATTTAATCCTCATATCTCTATAAGACAGGTAATATTCTTTCCTTTTACAGATTGGGAAGTTGAGATTCAGGAATATTAATTTGCCCAGGATCATCCAAGTGGGATGACCCTACTTAACATGAAGTCTATTCTTCCCACTCGGCCACTTCTACCTCATTTTACTAAGTTCCTCCATGTCTCTGTTAGTATACTAATAACTAAAAAGGTCTTGCATTTTTGGATAACTTCTTTACGCAAGAGCACACTATATCCCACCAGAGGTCTGTAGACCAAACTGAAAATCACTTCCTGAAAACATGTCTGAGGTTGCTTTAGTTAGAAGAACTTCAGCACTTTAATCTGTAGATTCCCATAGTATTCCAATAAAGGAGTTTATAAGTTTTAGACGTGTGTTGGTATGATATATTCCTGTTACAGGAAAATCAATCTGTTACTATATTTTCTTCACAGATGACATATAAAATGTTAAATACAATTATAGCTTGTATTAGTCATCTAGGACTAAAGCTTTTGTCCAGTAAGCCTTAATTGGACCATAAGTAGACATATGGTTGACATTCAGGAAACCACATTCTTAGAATCAGTAGTTACAGTTAACGCTTATTCATTCTTAAAATCATTTGCCCTCTCCCCTCAAAAATGAAATCTTCATTTTAAAGTCATCTGCTAAGAAGTAATTTTTTATTTAACTTAATTTAATTTTCTTGGTTTACTGTTGAGTTTGAGTTGGATTTTTATTCATTTATTTTTTACGTATTTATATTTTTGTTGGATTTTTGAAAGATCTCTTTTTCTCTGCTCAGCTGACTACAGTGCGGAGACTACTTTCTGAAAAGGTCACTCATGTGAACACTAGAGATGAAGATGAATATACCCCTCTTCATCGAGCAGCCTACAGTGGACACTTAGATGTTGTCCGTGAGCTGATTGCACAAGGAGCAGATGTTCATGCAGTGACTGTGGATGGTTGGACACCTCTACACAGTGCTTGTAAGTGGAATCATACTAGAGTAGCTTCTTTCTTACTTCAACATGACGCAGATATCAATGCCCAAACAAAAGGCCTCTTGACCCCCTTACATCTTGCTGCTGGGAACAGAGACAGCAAAGATACCCTAGAGCTCCTCCTGATGAACCGCTACATCAAACCAGATCTGAAAAACAACTTGGAAGAAACTGCGCTTGACATCGCCAGGAGGTCAAGTATCTATCACTACCTCTTTGAAATTGTGGAAGGCTGCACAAATTCTTCACCTCAGTCTTAAAGGTTCTAATCATTTTTTCAAGTTTCTAAGTACCAGTGCCTCCTTTGTGTGAGATGTGAAAAATCCTCGTAATATAAAATTGATGTCTAAAGTCTTACAACAGAAATTCAGTGGTACTCATGATATCCTTCCAAGTGAATTGCCTGACCTTGATGTCAAAATCTATTTGAAAGTTGTTTGTATATATCTTTAATGATTTCTGCAGAGTGTGTGATTTTTTTATCAGAAATAATTTTAACTATACTTAAAAACTTATCACGGGTTATAGAGAAAACTGATATTTTTGGTGCTGATCCAAGAAAAATGTATTTTTAAATATTCCCCATCCTGGATCTTTGTTGAGTATTTAGTGTACTGACATATTTTTGTAAGGTAAGATAACTCAGAATTTAAAAGTCTTCAATATACTGGTGCAGTCAGCTGTCTTCTCTGTGTTAAGATAGCCATTTGCTTTCATTTTAAACTGTAAGAACTAACATATTATAGTGACTTGAATATTCATAAGTTAAAAAACATCAATAAACTAGATCTTTGTCTTGTAGAACCTAAACCATTTTCAGGAAAGTAGCTAACTTTCCTGTTTAGTTTGTGTTTAGTCCATGAATGTTATATACTGCCTCCCCTACCACAATTCCCACAATCCTGTGGATAGTCCTACCTCACCCTGGTCCACCAACATAATCCTTATTCTACTGGTGAGTCAGCATGACCTTTTAAAGATGCACGCAACTGTACCTTGGTCCCAGAGATCATAATACATCTGCTGTACAGCTCCCTAATCCTCCTGATTTGGGCACTGCTCATAAAGTCTTCAAGTTCACAGGAAGTGTTGGTTTTCCAGGGTCCTCATTTTACATAAACCATAAAAAGGCAAAGTGACAAGGGAGAAGGAATTCTAAGAGTGAGGAGATGTTTATTATATTAGGGCTAGAACCACAAAAGCTCAGGCTTTTTTAAAAATCAACAGTAGATAGTGACAAAAGCATAACTACAAATATCAAAAAAATAAAAGTTTCGAACAATGAAAAAAAGGCATGAATTTTTTTTTTACCTGTATGTATTTTCTTTGCATCCATAGTATATTTATTCATTCAGCATACATTTATTTATCATCTATTCTCTCAGTCTCTCCGGCAGTGGTTTTCTATTGACTAGTTCCTCTGTGACTATTCCCAAAGAGTTTTCTCTTCTCAGCACCAGAACTATATCATATTAGAAAAGGAGAACCAAACCAGTGGCTCTTTTCTTCAGTTATATTTTTAAAATGTCCACCAAGGTTTGTCTCTTTTGAACCAGCCCTTGTGACCCAATTACCCTAGACTAAGGAATGTTATTTCATCAAATATGTGTGGAGATTTTTAGGTTAGAACAAAATCGGATCATCTCAGAAAGGTTATAGATGATATATGCACTGAATCATTGTGACAAACAGGATCTCAAGAGTTAGGAGAGCTTCATTTATTTTTGATCTCCGTCTAGAAGATGCCTGGGTTTCAGAGTATCAATATATGATACAAGGCTTTTGGCAGAAAGTGAGAGGTTGCTTTCTGTTTCACCTGGCCCAATTTAGTGATACGAAATGAAAGGTACAGCTGATAGACAGTGATGGTAGAATAGGACCCCATCTACCCCAGTAGACTGCTGAACAAGGCTGCCTAGTTATCTGAAAGTCACAGAGCCCATGGCTCCTTTCTTAATTGGTAATGAGTTGCATCCATGATTTTATGTAAGCCTTCCACTTAAGTATGAAGCCAAAGGAGCCACCTTATTTCTGATCAGGAACTGAGATGTGATTACTCTCTTATTTTCAGGCCTCAACACTCAACCGGTGCATGGAAATCCCTTCCATCCCTGAGGGCAGAATTTATATTGTTTGCTTCTTTTATACTTTCCTTAGTATTTATTAAACTTCTCTACAGAAGGCATTGACTAATCATACTTTTGACTATATTACTTATCTGTACTTTCTTGTTTGCTTAAGAAGGCAAAATAGCTCAGTTTTGCAAACAAAATTTTCTCTAATCTTAGAGTTTATTCACAGACTTCTTAAAAAATAAAATCTATGTTTTTCACAACTAATGGCTTAATTGTGATTAACTTATATGCTTGAAGAAGAGGTGACTTTTTGTCATTGTTCAAAGAATACATTGTTAATTCATAAGGCCCAGAGTGAAATTAGTTGGCTTTGTTTTTTTAATCTTAAATACACTTCTCCTGGGATGCTCCTAGCCCACAACCTACCACAATGATGGGATTTAGAGTCTTTATACTATGGATGTGAAAGCATCTTTATTTCGATTCATTGTCATCTATTATCACATCTGTGACTATGCTAAAAGATCATGGTGAAAAGAGGCACAGAGAAGTAACACTTGCTCTGAGACGTATGTCCCATACCAAAATGAAACCTCTGGATCAGTTCTTGATTCCTGATCCACACATGTTCTATAATCACCCTGAAATGGCTCTAGGAATTTATAGCACTGCTTTTGCTCAGGTAGGTACAAAAACAGTGAGTATGCTTTTCCTATAATTAGTTTATCATGGGATGCTCTAGTCTCTCTGTAGGATTATCAGGTGACCATTCAACTTGTACAATATGACATGCTTCCTCTAAAGGAAATTTAAGGTCTCTGTTTATTAAGTTCAGAAGTCAGTAAACTAAGAAGGATTGAGTGTAGCCTACTGATGTTTAAATTCCTGAAAATTTCCCTTTAAACCCCTAAAATTTCACTTCAGGAACCTAAGTAGAAATTATCTAAATCAGTGCTATCACGAAACATAATGCAAGCCACATGTCTAATCTCTAGCTTTTTCTAGTAGCCACATTAAAACAAAAACAAGTGAAATTAATTTTAATAATACAAATTATTTAACCTACAAATCCAAAATATTCATTTTAATATGAGATAAGTGTTTAAAAATTATTGAGATATTTTACTCTTTTTGATAGTATTAGTCTTCAAAATACAGTATGTATTTTATGGCACACCTCAATGCTGTTGGCTGCTTTATTGAACAGCACAGGTCCAGGTGCCTGAAACATTCCCTGGAGGCATAGCACAATAAATACTTAGGAGGAAGAGTGTTAAACTTTGAGCCAGACACATTTGGGTTCAAATCTTGATGGCCACCCTTGTGCCCCTTTGGGCAAATAATCGTGGTTTTCTCATGTATAAAGTGGAGATAAGATCAACCTTGTTATAGTTTTGTAAGGAATGAGCCATAATGTGTATACATGTACTCAAAAAAAAAAAAATGATATTCTTTACCCAGCATTTCAAGCAGAAATGCCCTTCTTGTTTTAGGTAGTTATATCCTTGCAGATGACCAAAGTCATCCCTTTTATATTCCTATACATAGTTCCCTTTCATGACTTTTCAGTAAACTATGCAACATAGAGCTGCTTTCAAGAATCCAAACACCTCTGTGCCTAGAAAAAATACCTAACTACATCTTCAAAAGTCCCTCCCAGGTGGCAAAGGTCTCCAACAGAAAAAAGTAAAACAAAGTAAAAGAATTTCAGCAAATGATTACATGAATTTAAAGGATATGAGATTCCAAGAGAAAATGTATTTCCAGAATGGATCCAGGACCTTGCAGCTGATAATGACTTATCGCTCATTCTACGTGTGGCTTCTCAATACCTATCAAAAAGTTGCTCTTTAAATTCATACCTAATTTTCTCCCCTTTTCAGAATGGGTCTCATTAACACTGAGCAAATGGAATAAAAACACAAAAACATTCATTTTTGGCTTATCACTTTAATTATCCACTCAAATTCAAGTAAATCTAATAGTTCTTGCAACGAATTTAATGACATTTCTATGACCATGACCACCAGAGGATCTCAGAGTAGCAGGGTTTGTAGGCCAGAAAATCTGCTTAATGACTTACATAGCTTATAAAAATCTAAAAGCAAGCTGTTACTTAATTTGTTTTCTTCCTTTCCTTTCTATTATAATACCTTCAGCATTTCAGCTCTACTAGATATATAGTACTTCAAAATCAGAAAAACATCATTGGAGAATTAATGTGAGTTTATAAGGAGCACTGTCTCCTGAGCAGTCATTTAGAGTTTCATTTTCAGATACAGCTGCCTTAAACAGGCAATTTTTAGCAATCCAAAAAATGAGAAAGTAAGCCCGCCATTATTTAAAAAATCAGTTGCCTATCAGGTTTTTCCAGAATTTAATAATTAAAATAAAAAACATATCCTGATTGAAAGGATCAACTCTAGGACCAAGACATAACTGCACTGTGGGAATAATACTAAGACCTAATACAAATATCAAATCTTTCAGGGCACATACCAGGAAAAACAAGCACTAGAGTTCATATTTGCTTTCATGTGTTTTTGCATATTTCTTATTTCAAGATATGCAAAGCTTGTTAAGAGAATCCATTCTTTGGCAATGAAGAGGTTTTTGAGTCCATTTAGTAAGGTAATCGTATGTCAGGGTTTCTCACACTATTGACATTGGAGCCAAACAGTTCTTTGTTGTGGGGGCATCCTTGGCAGCACTCTACGCCTCTACTCACTAGATGCCACCAGCACCTCTCGCTCTACCTCCCCACTTATGACAACCAAAAATAGCTCCAGACATTGCCAAATGTTCCCTGCTCTATGTCATCAAAATCTCTAAGGCAGGAGATTTCATAATTTGGCTAGCCCCGAAATTGTTATATTACCATGCAATTAAGTTTCATTTAAAGCACTCCTTTGAGTCCAAATATTCATCAGTGTACATTCAAAAGTTAGATAATCATTGTTTTAAAATTTTAATATTTTATTGAGAACATTTAAACATTTAAAAATTGGGCTAAAACATACAGTTAGAAAAAGAAAAGTCTTCAATATTGAGTATCATTTGTAAGAAAAACCCACTCCCTACTTCCAGGTTTGGCCTCTAGGAAATTTAGCCCTTAGGTCAGATGAGTTTAGAGAAATTCGAACTTCTGGGTATTAATGGAGATCGTAATTATATACTGATTTTTAATAGATTGCTCCATTATAAATGTAAATGTTTTATTTCATTGTTGAATAAAATGCTATTAAGTTGATACACATGCTTTTTACTTCTAGAAAAAAGGCATAAATGAAGCCAACAGCCCTTTGCAGAGAAGAGTGAAATGGGGAGGGAGTAATGGGTTCCAGGCATAAAACAACTGGGAAAATAGGTGATAATCTCTAAATGTCATTACAGATCTAAAATTCTTAGAATTTTAGAATTTTTGTTATTAAAAATAAAAATAACATTTATTTTAGCAATTTCAGCTTAAAAATTAATTCCAAGATGAAATATATCAAAATCATAATGTAAAACTATTCTACATTTGTTTATCAGCCTTCCCCAATCATCTTTTACATAATGCATGAATGAAACAGTCTCATCTGAACTTATTTATGAAAGTTCTTATATATCCAAGATGTGACACACCAACCACTGTCATGATCTTAACAGCTAACGATTGAGTGCTTTATGTGTGCCAACTGTGCTGTAGATAGTCACGTACATTATCTCATGTGAGCCTTACAATAACCCCATGAGGTAGATGCCATTGTACAAATGAGGAAATCGGGCTTATGGAGGTTAAGTAAATCATTGTCATGAACAAGTTTCCAGAAAGCTCATGTTCAAATATTATAGCTCTTCATCTGTGGTGTTCTCAAGTGTTAATGTCCAAGTACCACCAGATAGTCTATCAAATAATCGTAACAAAAATTCCATTTTCTTTATAATTTTATGTAGCTTATTTATGGTAGTGTTTGAAGGCATAAAATTACCACTATTGAGAGAAAATTACATTTTATGTCATAAAACATAAATAAAAATTTCATTAAATCATAAGAGCCAAAGCAATTTTTAAAAAGAAAAAGTTGGGTCATTTATACAACCTGATTTCAAAACTAACTGTGAAACAGCAACATCGAAACAGTGTGGTACTGATAAATAGACATAGATCAATAGGACAGAATAGAGTCTAGAAATCCAGATATAAATAGTCATTTCATTTTTGACAAAAGTGCTAAAGATTTCAATGAGATGTTCTGTTAAAGATATAGTGCTGGAACAACTGAATATCCATTTGGGGGGAAAATTTTACTCATTTATAGACAGCAGAGCAGTGGTTGCCTGGTGACAGGGACAGAAGTTGGACTGCAAAAAGGAAGGAAGGATTTTTTGGAGGTGCTGGAAATGTTCTGTATCTTGATTGTGGTGGTAGTTTTGCAAGTGTATGCACCTGCCCAAGTCATTAAATTCTATGCAGTAAATGGAATGCAGTTTTTATACCTAAGTTATTCAATAAAGTTGATTTTTTAAATGTAAGTATCCAGTGACAACTAATTTCATCCTTTCATTATTTTCTGTAGCAAGTAGGGACATATTAGGACCTCGTCACTAAATTCTAGGGGTGTATCTTCCTGGGGACTGCAGAGTCCAAAAAAATAGATTTCACCAAGTTACTAGAATTTTAAAATTTCAAGTAAAAAAGCCCCGTGTAATTGGAAGGAATAGCTTCTCCATTAAATGATAGAGCAGGAAACGAAATAATTGCCCTAAAATAGTCCGTTTGACAACATTTAACAAATTTAAAAGGGTGGCTTCATTACTATAAGAAGGATTTGTTGGCTTTTAAAATAAATCAGGAATGTTAGAATCTGTGAATTTGAGACAGAATATAACTGATAACACATAATAATTAGAAATAGAAAATCAAAAGCCACTTAGGAGAAAGAAGGAAATAAACCACCTAAATTAATTATAACCTAAGTGGTTATAGCATCTACTTCTCTCAAGAAAAATCAGAAGCATTAAACATCCATTCCTAATTCAATTGTCGTTACTTAGCCGAAGGAAGACTGAGATAGATGGCTTCTGGAGGCGTGTTCAAAATCTATGATTAAATACAAAATGTAAAACTTATTCCACCTAGTTTTTATGAATATACCATTAAGTAATACAAAATAATATATTAACTCTGGTAATATATTAAATTTTGATTTTTTTGATAAAGACTTCATTTTTTTACATTAAACATAATTTTTAACTTTTTATAGAATAAGATTTA